GCCGGGGGTCGCTGTCCACCGCGCGGTGCTGAAGTGGCTCCGTGGCCGCCGCGGGCCGTGGCTGACATCGCGGAGAAGTTAGGACTTTCACTGTCTCTGCCAGACTTGAAAGCAAGCTGGAAATCGATAGCTGTTTCGGATTCTAATCTGGGTTGGATTTTTTCCCCCTTTCGTTTGAAAATAGACTCAGGGCAATGCTTGAGAGAATTCCAGCCGGTGGAAGTGGCTGGGAAATCCTGCCTTCGGTACTGAGAGGTATTACCGGAGATGCCCCTGCCCAGGCCTGCCGGAGTCCGCCACATTCGTTAATGCCACACTGCACTTTAGAAGAGTTTGGCTTTTAAGACATGGAATTAAAAAGAAAAAGTGACTGAACCTTTGATAAATGGTGCAGCAGAGCTAGGCGGGCTGCTTTGGGCAAGATTCATTGTCAGCTAACTATGCAGATGCATTTAAAATCAGGGAATAGCGTGCATTTTATTCCAAGGATTGACCTCATTAGCATATTCAAATGAGTGTTATGTTAGAATACACCATTTGATTAATTTAATTCCAATATTATCTTGTAAGTTTTTCTAAAAGATGTTGTTAAACTCCTGCTAAATTGGTCTTTAGACTTAATGATACATCACATATGCAGCCCTGGATATTGTGTTTTTATGTGTGATGCAGTTTATTTTGGAGAATTTTCAATAAACGTTGGTAGTTTTTGCCGTATTTTGGAGGGGTGTTGTATCAGAATGCTGCCACTAGAGGTATATAATGTCAAGGAACTACATTTTTAAAAATTCTGTTTTAAAAAACTGCATTTTTTCACTTGTATAAATTTAAGAGAAAATTTTAAAAAACCTTAGTATTAATATTTTAAATATTTTTGTGCTACCCATCTTCTGTAAAGTAAGAATATGTAGAACCAGAAGAACATTTTCACATAACAGGAACATCACAAATGCTTTTATGATTTTAAAACAATAGGTACTGAAACGTTCCATGTCATTGAGCAATGCATTTTATTAGTGCCTTATGAGGTCTCAGTTATTTTAATTAGAGAGACGGTGTCCTGAATTACCAGCCCCTTTCCATGACTGATGTTTTATTCTGTGCATTGAGATCTTCAAGTCATGAGATGCTTAGTTTTTTTTTTTTTTTTTTTCCATAGAATCTGTTTGTATTGGTGAACCTTGTATTGGTGAAACTTAGAATCTTAACTTCTTAGATATTTTCATTTTGAAAGTATTAGTTGTTTGTAAAACGACAAATGTAATTAATACAAAACGCAATACTGAAAGGAATAATATAGCCCTATGCCTGCCTATAAAAATAATTTAAGAATTAGAAAGGGAACACCCAGCATTTCTCTTTTTCATGGTGGTTTCTCATGATCTCAGAGCAGAAACCCATTTCTTACCTTGTGCTTGAGGTTTTGTGCTTAGAAGTTCTTTTTCAGTATTGAAGAATGTAATGTTGGTAATGCTTTGTGATGATTCAGATATGAAAACTATAATTTTTCCTTTGATTGGTAAATATTTATAGTTTTCCTCAAGGAAGTTTATCTGATAATCAAATACATACATTTTGAAATTCCCTTTTCAAAGCAGTTATTCCAGAATGTTTTGGTGTGAAGTTGAGTGGATGGATTCAGGCTAATGCAATTGTCTTTTCTTGCTTGGCTTGCAGTGGCTGTTTGGTGGCCATTCTCCGTCCCTTGGACTTCCCCCATCTTCCACAGTGGAGCTGGTGCCCATCTTCCCACATCTCTGCCCTTCTGCTCTTGCAACTCCTATTGGGAAAAGTTGGATAGATAAAAGGATTCCTAACTGTAAGGTAAAAATGCAAGTGATTTAATTGGATAAGGGGTTTTTAATGATTAAGTTGTTGAACATCGCCATAACAACAAAAATATCCATGTATTTTCTCGTTGCCATAAATTGGCCATCTAGGTATACAAAGAAATCATTTCAGGCTTAGATTGATCTGTTCAAAAATGTCAGCAGGCGGGGGGCATTTTGTTTTAGTTTAGGATATTTGGATTCCACAGGGCAATGTAAAATTTCCAATTTTTGAATCAGAGTCTTTTTTAAATTTTTTTTTGCTTTTAAATTTGTAACCATTGATCCAAGATCTGGACTTAAACATTGCACAATACCAGTTCAAGTTTTAAAAGTCAGTTTTTCTTCATATGATGCTTTAAGTTTTCATCTTTCTAATGGCTTGTTTTGGCTTTTGGATTCAAATTTACTGACTACATTTTGTTCACAAGGAAACTAAAGAAGTAAATTATTGACTTGTTGTACAGCTTAGTAATTATCTCATGGGGTGATTCTTCAATCAGTGAACTGACTGCTGTGCTGAAGTAACCAAGTCAATAGCTGAAGGCCAGCCCAGAAGATATTAACTAGATGGTGATTGGTATTGAAGCCCTGTAGAACTTCCTTTAAGTTTTAGAACGATGTTTTTATAGAGTCCCCAATAATAGAATGTTCAATGCTGGATCAACGTAAGGCAACATAAATATTTTCATAGTCATGTTCAGCTTTTATCATGTACCTTGCCTTAAATGTTATGCTTGCATTATTTTTGGACAGATCTTTTTTAATAATTCCTTTGCTCTGGACTCAACGTGGATACATCCTGAGGAGTCAAGATTGTTCCATGGGCATGAAAAGCCTCATTTGCTGGCAAATCAAGTCGCTGTGTCTCTGTCCAGGCCGGGTCCTGCCTCCAGGCCACTCCCCACAGTGGTGTTAGCACCTCAGCCCATCCCAGGTTGGTGCCCAAATAACATTGACAATGTGCTTTTCATTTTTGCTTCAATCACAAATTAGTTTTAAATATGAAAACCATACTTGTCTTTTTAATGAAACAATTATCTTGGTAAAAGATAATTTCTTTTCACAAGCATGAAGCTTTTTTTAAAAAATGAGTCTTGGATAGCTTATCCACTGTTTTTTTCTGGGTTGGGTGGATAAGAGATCTGATGTTAAAATGAAGAGATGGCTGAAGGGGTTTTCACAGAATTGTACTTGCAGTGCTCTATTTTTAGGATTGGACCAGGTTTCCTGCTGATAGCTCTTAATAGGGGCACTAATTGATCAGCCTACTCTTTAAAAAATGTTGCTTGTCTGTGGCGAGGTGCAAGGAATAACGTTTGCTGGTCTGTAGGACACAGGAACATGTGTGATCTCTGAATTTTGCCTTCACGTTGTGGTGATAGTGAGATGGACTATAAAATGCCCTGTTTGAAAGATGGATTTTATTCTATCTTTGGAGTCTAGTGACCTGAAAGAACATTTGTCCTGGAACAGACTCCCATGAAGCAATGCCTGGATGAAAGATTGTGTAATAAACCTACATAGTAACAGGGGAATATAATCATCTTATGAATTTTTAAATTGATTTTTAAAATCACCTTAACATGTGGATCTTTTTATGAAAGCAAATGCCACCCGTGCCAAAATCGTCATGCAACACCTTCCATTATGGAATATGTTATGGCTTCAGAATTACATTACCTTTCTGTAATTTCCTACCTCCCAAGCTTGTCTCAATGTGTGTCTCTAAAGTTTAGTAATAAGATGGTTCTTGTGGATAATGCAGTGATGGGTTAGGAGATATATTTATTTTGTTCTCTGTTTGCCTACACATTTATTCCAATTTGCTATGAATCTTGTTTAGTAATAAGTCAGGAAGAACAACTAAACTATTTGTGTTTCTCATAGGCCTAAATGATTTCTGACTGCAACTTGTCCTTGTAATTACACATTAGGGATTAATTGAAGTCTGAGTAAGCATGGTACATGCACACATTTATAAACATTTTACACTAACATGATCATGTTTCCTATTTGATTTAATGATGATAAACGATGATTCAGTGGCACGTGTTATATGAGGATGACATGACTTTGGAAGGTTCTTTTGGTATATGAAAAGGTAATATTTTAATTTCCTAATGCGTTGGCCATAACTGTCATGAAAATAACCAGCAAATGTAGTTTTAAAAATGGTGAAATGAGCTCACCTGTTCCTACAAAGTCTTTATGTGAACTTTCCTTCTCTCAGTTCACCCCTGAGTATAATACAGATGTTTTCCACCGTTCCTTCACCTTCTTCATAGGAAATCCATATACAAATGTGCTAAATATCTGTTTAGTTGGAGAAGCTTATGGTCACCTCTCATAGATTTTCCACCTTAGGGACATCGTTTACTTACTATTGTGTGGCAAATATGCAATACTTCATTAGAAACATGTTTGTATTGATTTTACCTTCTTTTGATTTTTGGATGAATCTATTTTTTAAACTTTTACAAATTATTTTTACAATTTTTTGTGGGTACATAGTAGGTGTATGTATTTGTGGGGTACGTGAGATGTTTTGACCACAGGCACGCAGTGTGAGATAAGCGCATCCTAGAGAATGGAGTATCCATTAATGGATCTATTTTTAAGAACAAAATAAAATAATATTTCTTATAAACATGATAAATAGCAGAATAACCTTTCATTCTAACCTAGTCTACTATTCAACAAAGCTTAGATTTTCTCTTCTCTGCTTTTTTTTTAATTTATGGATCATATGTGAATATAACACTTAAAGTTTTATTATGTTATGGGGAGAACGGTACCTGACACCAAAGGTAATTTAATAATAATCAAATGTATTTGTTTTGAGATGGTAGTTTCTGAGTTGCTTCATGAAAACTTTACTTTTTTGATAAATTTCAAAATTCTTAGAATTTACCTAATTCAAAATTCTTAGAATTAGGTATGTTGGAATGCACATACCTAATGTCTCTTAGGCCAAAGAAAACATATAAGGGGTTATTTAGCTACAAACTGCTTAACAGAGAACTGGGATGAGGGGGGCAAGTAAAGGTGGAAGGTAGGGTAAGCTCCAAGTAAGTTAAAAATTCAGGTAAATGGTTTTAATTTTACTGTAGTTAATGAGAAATTACAACTTTATTAAGACACTCACACGTAAATGTTCATGTATGCTGTCATTACTAAAAATTACTATTAATTTTTCATATCCTATTATGAATTGATAAATTTATATATTATAGCTAATTTATATTGCAAATATATTATAAAAGTATGCATTTACAAATATATGTATGTACTATATATAAAATATATAATGTGTAAATCTATCATACAATTGTTATATTACATCAATCAATCTTGTTATAAAGTTTTATATTCAGAAATAAATGGCCTTAGAATCAGATATATTTTATCGATCCCCTTCAAGTTAATCAGTGAAGCAGAATCACAGTCCCAAAGAGCAGGAAAAGTGAATCAGACTCGCTCATTTTAAACAGGTCTAGTGAGCTAGGCTTATTTTCCTTTCTTGGAGAGGTAGTAATTTTTCTGTAATGATCATTCTTTAAGTACTTTTAAAATCTGCACTGTTGTTTTAGGGATAATGGCAATTTATACTATGAACTCAAATGATGTAACCCAGAAGGCAGGTTTGTTTGAATGAACTGAATCGTTTGTTGAACTAAGTTGGAATCTCTCTGGTAGAGATGGGGGTGAGACTAATATCAGATCACCCCTCACTTACTGTTGATTAGGAATTAACTGCACGGCACAGAGTCTCAGATAATATAAGCACAATTTGGATGAATTTGGAAAAGCTATCTAAGCTTTAATAAGTATTATAAAGGACTCCATTTTTATATACACTGCACTCATTCGTGACCAGGAGGATGGTGGTCGCCTGTCATCATACTCTCACACTCTGTTGTAAACAAGCCTGTTGGTCATTTTTGAGCCTCCCAAAGGGCCAACCTCCTGACGCCATCACTTTGGGGGCTAGTCCATCAACATATGACCTGGGGGAGAAATTCAAGTGGCGTGTGCTCTCTACAGGTGTTTGAGGAGAACCTTAGCAGGGGATCCTCAGGGAAGGCCTCTGTGGCCAATGCCACCTTGGGGCAGGAACAGTCGAATGAATTCCAAATGAAGGACATAGACTGTCCAAAGACACAAAATCAAGAGGAGCATTTTGTGATCGGGCAATTCCAAGTAGCCAAATGTGGTTGGGCTGCTGGAGGAGATGTGGCAGGGATGGGCTCTGGGACCTCTTCAAACAAGACCCGTCACATGAGACCTGTGGTGTGTGTCAGTCCCCTGGATCCTCATGGACTGTTGGGGGACTTTACATCATTCTTCCACTCAGGATTCTTGGCTTCTCCAGGAAAGTGTGAACTTGTTCTCGGGAAGCAGAGGAGCCACAGAAGAGGCAGAGCCTTCTCACAGCCAAATAAATTCAAGCACACAAATAATTACACCTGCACTAGAAACCAAGATCTCTAATTAATGATTTTGCAGTTTTTAAAGAAATTCTTCCTGATCATTGTGAATGGGTTGAATTGAGAAATTATCTAGGATCTATTGATTCCCGGACCTCAGAAGCTGATTCAGGGCTGGACAGGCAGGGAGAGGCCACCTGCCCCACAGTCACCACCTCTTCTTCAGCAGTGCCTGTACATCAGCTGCTGCATCCCCATCAACACCTCCCCGCTCCCTGCAGTCCTACCGGTCCCTCTTCTTCCCAGGCAGAAGGGGCTTACCTTGCATCTTAGGACATGCATCTTAGGACATGCGGTTCCTCACAGGCAGATGTGGAGAAGGGTCTGGGTGGTACAAGTACTCTCCAAGGAGTCTCTGTTTTCTACTTCTGAAAATAAGAGCTTCAGAGTCCTTCAAGCCATTCATGAATTAAATAATTTACATCAAGAATATCAAGCAGTGGGAGGAGAAGGTAGTTAATTCAGCATCTGTCCAACAAAGGCAAATGAAATAGAAGGATCTTGCTGGAAACTAGAGATTTATGTAAAAGTTGTCCATATCCCATTGCCTGCCAGCTTAAGATCAAAGAGCCTGATTCTACCAACAAACACCATGATGGGCAAACCAAACCAAACCAAACCAAACCACTGACTGTACCTCTCTTCATTCAAAGATGACTAAGAGAGAGAGGGGGAGAGAAAGTGGAAGATGAGATAGGGCATCTGAAGTATTCTGCTTCGTAAAAGATTCATTTGCTCAAAAGCTCCGGAAGAGAAACATATCTGAGAAATGGATTTTGCACAGGAATTAGTAACCATTGTAGGCAAAACACCTTTTGCCTACCTTAATAGGTAAAAGAAAATAGAACATAGAAAAGCAGTAAAAGATAAACTCAAAAGAGAGTTGGTCAATGTGAAAAGACAGTTTGAGGAAAAGAGAAAAGAATGCAAGGAAACTTCTGAAAACTAGCAACTAAAATCATTGAAGAGAAGAACTGATTATGCATCTGATGAGAGAAGACAACATAGAAAGATTCTTAAGCATAAATAGATGTGACTGTGAAAATCAGATCATAACAGTGGGAGAAGGTAATATCTGTGTAAAATAGAAAGCAAACAACAAACCTATATTGCTTTGACCTCCTTAAAAACACAGATTTCATGAATGGAAGAAAATTTGTGCAATCTATCCATCTGACAAAGGGCTAATATCTGTAATCTACAAAGAACTTAAACAAATTTACAAGAAAAAAACAAACAACCCCATTACAAAGTGGGCAAAGGATATGAACAGACACTTCTCAAAAGAAGACATTTGTGCAGCCAACAAACATATAAAAAAGGCTCATCATTACTGCTCATTAGAGGAATGCAAATCAAAACTACATTGAGATACCATCTCATGCCGTTTAGAATGGTGAACATTAAAAAGTCAGGAAATAACAGATGCTGGAAAGGATGTGGAGAA